ATATTTTTGTTAAAAAAAAACTGTTGGTGGATTGAAGCGTTTCAGCAAATTATTTATCTTCATGCACAATAGAACGTTGCGTCATTTAATAATAAAGTATTTGTTCAGTAAATTTTTCACGTATTATATTATTCAATAAATAATTTATTTTAAGAAATAATAGTTACGATGTAACATTTGTATGATTGAAGTAGTATTGCATAAAAAAAAGCAGACAAGATTGGCTTAGAACCTAAAGATACAATATTCAATATATCTTGTGAAATGGGTGCATTAAAATAAAGTTCTATTTTAATTTTTCAGAAGCTGTTATTATGTTGGTGTTTTAAATATTTTTCCAGAAGGGTTTCATTTATTTTTTAGCAAAAGTAAAAAATTATATTTTGTTACATGGATTTTCAGAGAAAGTTGATATAAATACTATTATCACAAAATTTAAGATTTAATAGAAATTAATACGACCTATAGCATACAAGCAAATGTTAATACATCTAAATCATTGTATCAAGAGGTGCATATGCATCGATGGCGGCACTTTCAATACAAGCACTCTATATCCTCCATACATGCCCTTTTTTCAATATCCATTATACTTAAGACTCATAATACCAAACCACATAGTTTCTTTTTCAAGAAAATTTTCTTAAGAAACAAATAAGAACGAGAAAAATATCCACCCCGGGTGCGGATAGAACACACAACCTCCTGTTTACTAGACAGTTGCTCTACCACTTCAGCTACCGAGGAGCTGTACATTCACTCGCACCGTAAGCTTAGATAAGTTTCTCTTCCTTAACTTTAAGAAACTTGTCTAATAATAGTATATCTCGCTTATATACTATTGGTCGTATTAATTTTTAATTTACCGACAAGCATTAGAGTCACATAACTACTTTATCAAGCTTAGGTGAAAGACAACTCTATAAATTAGGAATGAGAAACTTATCTAAGCTTACGGTGCGAGTGAATGTACAGCTCCTCGGTAGCTCAAGTGGTAGAGCAACTATCTTGTAAACAAGAGGTTGTGTGTTCGATCTGCATCCGGGGAGGATATTTTTCTCGTTCTTATTTATTTCTTAAGAAAACTTTCTTGAAAAAGAAACTATATGGTTTGGTATTATGAGTCTTAAGTATATTAGATATTGAAAAAAGGGCATGTATGGAGGATATGGAGTGCTTGTATTGAAAGTGCCACCATCTATACAAATGCACCTCTTGATACAATGATTTAGATGTATCAACATTCGCTTGTATACTATTGGTCGTATTAATTTCTAATTTACCGACAAGCATTAGAGTCACGTAACTATTAAGATTTAATAGTTTTTGGGAGAGGAATATAGAGTAGTTGCAAAGCTGAGATTTTATTCGTTCACTGAAAAAGGTATATATTTTAAACTTTTTTCTAAATTTGTAATATGTGTCTGGAAAAAATAATGTATTCACATTTCAACATAAACTCTGTTGAGACAGTGATTTTGTGAATTTGAACGTTGATAATTTTAGCTTCTTGAGGTCATTGTTTGTGTCATGGATTAATTATTTTTCAAGGAGATTCGAGATCAAAGGGACCATCCTATTCAATGCTTTATGTTCTAATCAAATAGATATTCGTACTTCGAATTTGAATTTTCAAAGCAAGTTTGCGATAATATCACCGAACCTCCTCTTCAAGTTTTCAAGAACCATCTACTTACAAATATTTGTGCAAGAAAATCACTTTTTTAATCGAAGTATTTAAAACTGCACATTTAAAGCTTTTTTAATTAAGCACTTTAAATTCTTAGTTTTAAACACTTGGACTTATAATATTGAACTAGCAGCATGACTTGCATTCAGTGATCATGTAAATCGCGACACAAAAAGTGTAATGATCACAAGTAGGCTGTCAGGTATTAAACAGAAGCATTGTCTGTAAATTTTATGTAGCTACTTGGATTCTCTTTCTGTTCACATGACTTTATTTTGTTTCAAAATTTAGGTGTGTTAAAACCGTATGCAACACATAGCACAAGAATAAAGAAATGTGAACATAGGTCCCAGCTTAAGAAAAAAAAATAGTCTGTGCCCAGAGTTTAGACAAGGTCATAGTAACTTGGAAAAAAGGCGTAATATTCGATGGAATTTTAGGTAAGGGCTTAGTTTTTATCTGGATTATGGTAAGAGGCAAAGTCTTCGTTTAAATTCTAAAAATAGACCTAGTCTTAATCTAAGATCATCAAAGGACATAGTCTTCGTCTGGAGTAGTGTAAAAGACATAGTTTTTGTTAATGCTTAGAAAAAGGGCATAGTCTTTGTCCAGGCTTCGAAGCAGAGCTTAATCTGCGTCCAGGGCGTCGATTTTGTCAAAAAAATTAAAAGTTAATACGTGAGAAAACCACTGACGCTGTATAATTTCTAATAATCGCTATGATGGAAGTATGGTCCATTTATAAGGGTACGGATCAAAACAAAAATATTTGATAAGAACTTGAAAAAAGGAAATCTCATCGAAATGTAAAGCAAGTCCCAAAAAACTTTAGAATCGCTAATCGCGAAAGCTACCGAACTAATTCTACTGATATTTTGCATACTAATTCTTGAAACTCCCTAGATGGTTTCCGCAAAATTTTTTCTCGAAAAGTGTATAACAGTATCAATAAACAAGCTTAAAATTTTATTTAAAAATGCTTGCTTTGCGGTTTAGCTCAGCAGGATCTGCTAGGTAGCATCATCCACAGTCGTTCAGTGGCAGCTATTAATTAGCTTAAAAATAATTTATTTTATTAAATGCGAAGCAGGTCGATTGACAAAGTTCAATATCATGCATGACACAGGACTGACAGATCAATGTTACAAACTCGTGTCCATACTTATGAAACTTTTGTTGACAACTTATCATCTTATTTAAATAAGCTAAAAACTCATTCATTTATTGCAAAACCACAGCCTGCTTACTATAAAACTGAAAGAGAATCTTTAGCACCAGGAATTTTTTAATTATGTCAGATTTTTCAGAAAACTTCGCTTTTGTTACTCCAGACACTGTGCATTCTTTTTATTAGAATAAAAGTCAGTATAGTTTCATAACAGTTGTGATATATTACAAAAAATGTGATTCAACTATACAATTCAAAAGTATTGTGAATTATTCAAATAATTTTATTCATAATAAGATAGCCGTTCATTTCATACAAAAATGTTAGTTGACTATTTGAAGGAAACATTTAAAATGGACAATACAGTTATTCATTTCAGAGATAGAACAGCTCAACACATAAGAAATAATTATAGTTTTATGTATATATTGCATCACTTTAATAACTTTTCTGTTAAAGCAGAGTAGCATTTTAATAAAAATGCATTTGATGGCATAGCAGCTGCAATCAAAAGTAATACTTGCTGAGCTTGTTTAAGAATAGTTTCGAATAAAAGAATTTCAACACCTCAAAGTCTCTTTGAGTGGTCCAAGAAAAACTATAATATTATTGTCTGTTTTTATACTTCAAAAAAAGACTATTCGATTGCTCAAGAGCAATGAAAAGAAACAATTAAATCAGCAGTCACGGTTTCTGGTATGGTATCTCTTCATTGCAAAAATCTGATTGTAGAATCTGAGCAGTTACAATTGAAAGAATTTTCAGCATCAGAATCATTACGAATATTTCTACCAACAAATAAGCTAAGAAAAAAGAAAAGAAAATTATACCCACTGATTTCCAACCAAAGCAAAAAAAGTGGTCAGTAACAATAAACTAAAAACATGAATCATTTATCTATAAGATTATTTGTAAACGCAACTGTAAAAAAAGAGAAATAATGATTTCCATAAGATTAATGAATACTAAACTTTTTTACTGAAAACTCTAGTGGGAAAAATATCAAGTGTAACGTTGTATATACATGAAGCGTAGCTGACAGGCGATAAAAGTGATTGACACGAGGTGGAAATTGACTACACGCTATCTTCTTTTTTGTTTAGCATTTGTTTACCTTTTTCTCTTTCAACTGGAATCTCTTAGGGATTATAGTTTAAGACTTGCTTTTTCAAATGGTGCAATTTCATTAGGATAAGAAAAGTATCATTCCATAATAAGGCTTTAAAATATAATCATGATTTACTCTATAAAAAAAAGAAGGTTTTATAGTAAGCCTGATTATACTATTGGAAAGAGCAGATAAAAATCTATTGATTTATGTATTTTAATATTTTTTTAGAGCCTTTTTTTCTGTCAGCGAGTTGAACTGAGCATGCTTAACTGAAGAAATGCGCCACGAGTCCAAGTGGCTGGAGTTTAATGTATTTGCTTATATACCTTGATGTGTACCTCAATCAACTTAATGTATGACTATAAGGGAAGGCAGTAACTTCTTTGTTTATTTACGGTTTTTTAATTTTTTTTTTTTTTTTTATTTAACGTAGGTAAGCAGTGTTTTCGTTTATGTTATTAATCTGTCTGCTGCGTCAAAAAGTTTGATGTAGTTACATTTTTCTACACTTTTCCTGTTTAATAAGACCTGATGAAGACAGCGTAGCATCTGCTTAAATGTTGCCTACAATTTATGTAATTTTTGTGTATTTTTTCAATTATTTCACTAAATAATAACAAATCACACAAGTCTGATATCCTTGGAGGGTGACAAAAATTTCCATTCAAGTAAACTCGTTCAGGATGAATCGCTCTGACTTCCACTAGTACCAAACATTTACCGCTATTTACGGATATCAGAATAATTTCCGCACAAAAAAAAAATTTTTTTAGTACCAGACAATGGTGTATTACGTCCAAAATACTGCGTAGTTTGAATTCAGTTCTCTTACTTTCTTACATTACCGTATGTAGACTCTTGTATTATTCATTTCTTTAATTTGATGTATCCCTAGTTTATGATCGACCTCTAGCATATAAAGTTTGTAAAGTGGTCATTAGTATTCTATGGAAGAACTAAATTAGGAGTTACAAAATTAAAAGAATACTTTACAACAGTTTTTTATTTAAAAAATTACAGAGTGCTACTGTATAAACTAGGCTTTTAAATTTGAAAATGATTAGTCATGCATCCAACAAATTTGTAACCTTTCAATTGTTCTTATATTCTATAGTTTACTTCTGCGTACAGGATAACCTTTAGTATTTTCAGCAAAGATCCGTGGCAAGGCACATTTTCCACAGATATTGGCGTTTACTACTGGTATAAGATTCTGGAATGTTTGTCGTACCAATTACGCACTTGTCTGCAAAAAAATTGACAAAAAACTTTAGTTATTCTGCAATAAGGTTTATATATACGATACAATTCATTTTATTTGTAATGCAGAGTTATTGTATATCTTATTATATATACGGAACTGCTTTATTTTTTAAATAAAAGTTTATGTAAATAATCAAATTAAATTTAAATTCATAGTCAATGACGATAACGTAGTTCATTACTAACTCCTAACAATTATTAGATAAAATAAAAAATAAAATGTCTACTCTCTTTGGTTCTTCCCTACTAAAATATTATTACTGAACAAAATATAGTGTTACGAGACTCTAATATTACTCAGATTAATTTGATAGAAAGTATACGAGACACATTAGGCATCAAGAAATGTAGAACCCAATAGAAGGTGGACTATTGTACAGTTATAGGTACGTGTGCCTTCAATTTATGAACTTTCTCACCATTAAATTTTTAAAGAGAACGACGACTTCAAAACGTCATTTATACGACTTATTTTTTTTTTACAAAAAAGTGAAAAATGTTTTTGAAATTCCATAACAATGACTTATTCTAATTGATTGAACTTTATTGTCACCCAATCTTTTCTGATTAAGTTACTACAGTTTTTATGAAAACATTCATCCAAAATAAAAGATGCAGGCTTTAAATCTACATTTTTTTAAGCTCACGTATAATTGCCCTAATAAATTTAATCTGTTAACAAAAGCTTATGTCAATCTTTTATTAGAATTAAAAATTTACTAAAAGTGATTGGACGCACATTTAAGTAGTTATGTATCAAAGCACGCTATAAGACCGTGTAAAATACCGAATTTCTTGGAGAGCAGTTACAATAATTGTACCTACGGTTACGTCAATACCCTTCACGTAAACTTAAACCGAGCTCTGCACCCTTAATTTGAACCTGCAATTTTATTATACCAACCCGATAAAGTACATTACTTTTAACAATAGACAAGTTAGCTAAATATATTTCTACAGCACTAATAGTGTAATCGATTTTCAGTGATTTGCTTGTTTTTTTTCAAATAAATTTATCGTAGTAAAAGTTAAGGCACAGTAATATACTTTTTATGGTTTTGTGCTGAAATTTATAAAATAATGGCGTAAGTAGCAGAAAATGTTCCGTAGAATTCTAAATCAGCTTCGAAGCACTGAACTAAAAAATATATTAGCTATTAATATCAAATATATTGGTAAAGTTTTGTATTGAGTTAATCCAGGCAAATAAAAAAAGATAAGACATGACTTTTCATAGTTTTTTATTAATCTACTTTTTTCCAATAACACAACGTAAATGTAATACCAAAATAGAAAACTTGTAGCATAAGAATTTTCATCTCTGTCTTAAAACGCAGTAATAAAAAAAAGTACTTTTAATAGATTGTATAACTATATTTTTGTAAGATCTAACAGTATTTGCGAAAAACATTAAAACTACGAGCCAAAAAATGTTTTATAACTTCACACGTAATGTGTTGATTTATAATGCTTTTTAGTGAGCTGCCTGATTTTAGGGGGAAGGGGGGCGGAATGGTGAGGATGAACTGAATCTGAAGTTTTTTTGGCACTTTTAATAAATGAAAAAAATACGTGGTCGATTTTCTCTAATTTATTTCATGTGTAGCACTGATTTAATAAAAAATTTATTACAGTTTCCTTTTAATGTTACTTCAATAGTCAAATAAGATTTTAGCTTAAAAAACAAATGTGTCAAATTTACTAGAAGTGTAATTTCGTGTTACAGTTCTCAAAATTCAATTTTTCTCTGAATTTTTGGCGATAACTTATTGCACTCATAACAATCACAGATCTTATTTTCTCGGCAGTTGCACGAGAACAAATAATTACAAAAAATAATGGACTTATTAGACTAGCAGTATAACTATTTTCATTTAGCTTTTAATTTTCACTTAACTACTCACTTCCGCTTCTTTAACTTACAATTACTAATAATTGTATATGCACTTACTTTAACTTTAACCTAGATGTTGTTTCCATTAGGTTAAGGTGAATAACAATCTGGCAGTTTCATTCTTAAAACAGAGATTTTATGAAACTGTGGTTAACTTAATCATAAAACGACAGAGTCAATTGCTGCGTGAAATGCGAAAGAAAAAGTGGCGATTTCTTGTATGCTGCGGTAGACCACTCAACTTGGGAGGTAAGGCCTCTTCTAGTTAATCTAACTATTACGTATACTACTACTGCAGCATTATTAATCAGTAAGATTAACTAGAAGAGGCCTTATCTTCCAAGTTCGGTGGTTTATCATGGCGTTTCAGAAATCGCCATTTTCTTTTGTTGTTTCGAGCAGCAATCGACTCTGTCGTTTAACGAATCAGTTAACCACAGTTCTACAAAATCGCTGTTCTAAGAATGAAAGTGCCAGATTGTTCTTAGCCTTAACGTAATTGAAACAATATTGAGGTTAAAGGTTAAATAAGTGCACTTACAATAATTAGTAATTTTAAGTTAAAAATTTGGAAGTGAAGAGTCAAATCAGAATTAAAATCTTAATTAAAAATAGTTATACTGCTAGTCTAATAAGTTCACTATTTTCTGTGATTATTTTTTACCGTGCAACTGCTAAGAAAATTAGAACAACTGTGATTATTACGAGCGAAATGAGCTATCGCTAAAAATTTAGTATAAAAGTGAATTTAGACAACTATATCAAGAAATCCTATTTTTAGTAAATCTTACATATTTGTTTTTCAAGCAAAAGTCTTGTTTAACAATTACAGTAACATTAAAACGAAACTGTAATAAATTTTGTCATTAAGTCAGTGCTTTACATTAAATAAATCAGACAAAATTCACTACGTTTTTTTTTCCATTTATTAAAAGTGCCAAAGAATTTAAGATTGAGTTCGTTCTTCTAAGTCCGCTCCCCCCCACTACAGTCCACTAGAGAGAATTATAATTAAATATAGATATATGAGGCCAGATAAAAGGAAACAATTTTCCCACCATGTGGCAAAAGATTGGTGGACGCCATCTTAGTTGCTATAAGGGAAGAAAAGCATCAAGTCGCGAAGCGACGCTATGCGGCAGCCATTTAAATCGTTGCCGTTCACGCATAAGTGTGACGCAAGCCGATAAGAAGGAGAGGGCGATTGCATTATGAGCCGAGAAGAAGGAGAGGGCGATTGTGCTATCAGTTTTGCCAGCCGAGAAGAACAAGTAGCCAGAAGGAGAGATAGCAGCGATGACGTCAACGACACACCAAAAAACCACTTTTTCTACAATGCTTGCTTTATAGTGCAAGTATTAGTGCCAGTGAAGTGCCCGCTCTCCCAATGTCGTAAAAAGGGAGGACGTGTGTATACATGTGTATAACTGCTGCTGCTGCTGCTGTAGTATTCGGAATTGGTCGTACAAGTTGGGAAGTGGTCGAGTTTTGCCGTCTTGAAGGCCTTCTCTGATCACTCACCGACTTTGTATTCGTATTACTACGTCGTAGTGTATACTTATGCGGCTGCATGTTCCATGTACATTGTTTACATAGGTGTGTGTGTGTGTGTGTGTGTGTGTGTGTGTGTGTGTGTGTGTGTGTGTAAACAGTGAAGCTCATCAGTTCAGACTTGAAAAGCTGGTGCCCACAAATATTAAATATTATTCGAGTAATTGAGTTTATCGACATTTCTCATCCATTACGAGATTGCCAAAGCAACTCTATTTTAAATATTATCATTTTGCAACCATTCAGGGCTCAAACGATTCCTCCTTACTTGCAGATTTATCCTCTACTTAAATTTCAATCTGCGGATCAATAGTTTGCGAGATAGTTAGAAAATAAAAAGTTGAAAATGGGCGCGGTGCTGAAATATAACAGCCTTTGTTTGAAATGCTTAATTGGGTTAAAATCCAATTCTGCCTGTACTATTCATTTTCTCCTTACTTGCGGATTACGGAGGTGCATAAATTAATGTAATTAAATGTCACAAAGTTTGTAAATAATGAATTCATTTGTTGAGAGAGAAAATCTAGTAACTTTTATCTGGTGACTTTTGGTCTAGTTCCTTTCCTGCGTGGTTCGGGCGCAGGAATCATTATTTTCAAATTGATAAAAATGATGTTTTTAAATCAGACACAATACAGTAAAAGCAAAATAATTAACTGTTTTCTTCTTTAAAGCAAATTCCAAGTTATATTAAATAATAAAAGTAACTTTTATCTAGAGACTGCCAGTTAACGCTTTGACCGGCCATTTAGTTTAAACTGATAGATACTGAATACTGTTGTAATTATTTTCAAACCACGAAATAGTAACCTCGTTTATATAGAAACTATATTGTATAATTGATTAATTGCATTATAATTTTGGAACCACATTAGGCTACGAAAACTAAAAAAATTTCTGTTAACAACAGCCAATATGAAGGTAAGTCACATTGTCAGAAATGTAGTATGAACATAAATTATGAAATTTTTAGAAATGTGGTGTCTAAATAAGTTTTAATTCTTACTATGTAATTACGCATTATAATTTTATTACAAATATAGTGCCTATTTCATTGTAATGAAAAAAATTATATCACTTTCAATTAATTAAATCGCCCGCCAAAGCATTATCTTATCAACAGGCACCCTAACCTTATTACAATACTTACAATTCAATAGTACACTGTTACGTTAATATACGAGTTACCTTCATTATTTAATACTATGTGGAATCCTCTTTTAAAAAGGAAACGATTTATTATTGTGTTTTCATTGTACTGTGTCTACTTTAAAAACATATCAATTTGAAAATAAGTATTCCTGCGCTTGAACCACGCAGGAAAGGAACTAGACCAAAAGTCACCATATAAAAGTTACTAGATTTTCTCACTCAACAAATGAATTCATTATTTACAAACTTTGTGACATTTAATTACATAAATTTATGCACCTCCGTAATCTGCAAGTGAGAAGGAATCGCATCGTAAGGTAGAATTGAATTTTAATCATAATTAGTACTCAAAACTAAGGTTTTTATATTTCAGCATCTTGACGTAC